ACATATATTGAAGAGAAAGATTTGTGCTCAAATTACAATACAAACTAAGAGGTATCAATAAAAATTATAGCAGATAATCTTGAAAGTGCAATTATATAAAGAGTAGTAAAAAACTAAAAAATTGAAAAAGAGTTAGTAAATACATATGAAAAGCTAAAAGAGAAAGAGATTATTAGATACTATACAGATGAAGTATTAGCTAGAAGCAGTAAAGAGCTAGAATTAGATAGAATGAGAGCAGAATAGATAGTTAGAAATAAGGAAGAGATAGATAGTAATATTGGTTTTAGCTATAGTATAAAAAATTAGATGTTATCAACTCATGCAGAATTAGGAGCTATTTAGGCAGCTTTGCTAATAGCATTCTACAGGTCTCAAGTATATATATTTACTGATAGCAAAGCAGTAATAGAGGCTATCAAAAAATATATGAGTAATAGCAAGTTGTGAAGTTGGTTTAAAATGAAAAACAGAAGTTTGCTAAGACAGATAAAAGATTGCTATATAGCTAAAAGTCTAAAACTATCATTACATAAAGTAAAAGGTTATAGTAGTAACAAATGAAATGACTAAGTAGACTTTTTAGCAAAAAAAGGTATCAAGAGAACTAATATACTTGAAATATCTAAGACAATACTTAGTAATCTCCAAATTATACCTAAGTAGAAAGATCAAATAATAGAATGCTTACTCAGATCATTTATAAATATAATATCTGCAATAATATATGAAACAGAATAGGCTAGTCTAAGTAAAACAACAGATATTATAGTCTCAAATCAAGAAGTTAACAATAACAAAGAGCTAAGTTAGAAAAATACTTAGAAAGCACTTAAGAAACTGCAAAAAAAAATATATATATATTAGCCTAAAAAAAAGCAAAGATCTCATATTTCGTATAAAATATATTAATAATATCTTACTAACAAAGGATATTTGTTATTTGAAAAACCCCCAAACTATATAAGAGTTAAAGGTATATAGCCTGTTTTAGACTATAAAATTTACTAAAAAATCTAGAAGAACTTAGAAGAGGAAACCTTATATCTAACAAGCCTTAAAGCATTAATAAAGTTAGATTTGTCACTTGAGAAAGACTCTCTAAAAAAGATACTCTATAGTAAAAATTTAGAGAAAAAGCTACATATCAGAAAAATGCATCTTAGAGATCTTATAAATAAGAAACAACAAGTAGATATAAGCAAGATAGCTCAATCTAAAAGCAAAGCAAACAGAGTTCTGATAAGTTTTATTGAACTTTTTTTTTTTTTTTTTTTTTTTAGAGGTTAACCTCTTTACACTATTTGCGTCTTTATTAAAGATTTATTTACAGTATAATTACAAAGTTATATGATTAAAAGTATAAGAAGACTAAATATTAAAGTTAATTAATTCACTAAAATATTTAGCTTTTTTTGAACTAGAATTTTTGCGTATTAGATTTTGAAGAATCTTTAGAGATTTTCTGAGTCTAATTTTTGTTATATTTTCTATCAGGTTTTTTGATATAATATTATTCCCTCATCTAGCCTAGGTATACCAGTACCAGATTTCATATATCGCATTGATATGTAGCCAGATCGCTATCTTTCTTTTTTGTTTATTCTCTATATTCGTTGCCTGAAGTATTTCACTAATATTTTTTGGCAAGTTGTTCTCTAATGTATTCAATAAAGCTTTGTAGGTTATCCTCCATATACTTTTACTAATATTACATTTTAGTATAAAGTGCTCTAATGTTTATGTTATATTTGGGCAATTAGGGTATTCATTTAGCATATCCTAGCTCAGATGTACTAGATAGTAATCTAGTGGGAGAGCCCTATGCTGCATTCTCCAAAAGATATTCTTTTTCTTATTGAGAATCCATTTAGTCTTGATCTAGCTAAAGTTTGTTGCTTGAGTTGCTAATATTCATATTTTCTAAAAGGCTTACTGCTGCTTTTACTGAGTAATTGTTGCCTGTTAGGTTGTCTAGCTTTATGTTTTCTAGTGGCCAAGGCCAAGTTTCATCTGAATTTATTTGTCTTTGTATTCTTTTCTAAGCAGTGACATATGGTTTCCATTTTTCTGGCTAGCCCTTTAGTTTAATTAGGTTTTGTTGTAGGGCTAGCTAAGCTGATATCCTCCTTTTGGTTTGGAGCTCTTGTGTGATTATTGCTCTTTCTGTTTGTGGCCAGAAAGTGTCACTTGAAAAAAGCTTTAACCAGATTGAGATTAGTCTTGCATTTAACATATTTTTCATATTAGGGGCTGCTAGGTCTCCTTGTTCTAACTCTAATTAGAAGGTAGAGAATTTTGATAGAATTCTTAAGTTATTTTTGATCCAGCTTTAAGAGTATCTTCTTTCAAGACTTGTTTTCCTTTCTTGCTAGATATAGTCTTAACTTCTTGTTAAGTTCTAAGTTTTGCATATTTTCTTTATTTTTTTTAAAATTTTTTTTGTTAGTTAGGGAAGACATTTTTTTTTTTTTTTTGTATTTTTTGTTACTAGGTATTCTTTGAAGCGTCTTTTCCTTGAAGCAAGGGCAGAAGCCCTTGTCTCGATAAGTTCTTTAGTCTTTTCTTTCTTGTCGTTAGTAGGTATTTTGATAAAAGTTATTTACTCTATCCCAGAACTTATGTGTTTAGGAGAGAGTGTACGTCGATCTTTTTTTATATATATATATATTGAAAAATAAATAAAATAATAATTTTTTAAATAATTCTTATTTTCTATTTTATTGTTATTATTATTTTTTTATTTTTTTTAATACTATGTTATACTATATTAATTATAAAGAAAGGTTATATGCTATTCCACGGAGAAACTCTATTAATATATGATTTTGTCGATTTTTAATAATAGTGTCTAGTTTTTTTTCTCTTTCAATAGTACTTTTTTTTGGTTTTAGGCATTGTGCACCACAGAGAATAGCTTCAATTTGATGGTCAACCTGTTGTTGCTCCTTTTGGAAATCTTCAACAATAGTATAAACACCCACATGGGGTTGACCAACTAAATTTTCCCAATGTCAGTGCCAAGCCTCAACAGTATTGGATGTTCTAGAAACACCTATTTCTATGAAGTCGTGCACAGACTACATTTGTGGTGGAAAAAGAGGGGGTGTACGACTAAGAGTACCATTATGCATTTGTTGTCTTACCTTTCTATGTACATAATTATTTTCAAACCATTGTACTACTTCATTTGTTTCTGGAGGCATTTTTTCTTTTAAAACATCAAATACCGCTAAAATTTTATTTGATAGCAGGAATGCTAATGCAAATAGTTAACATAGTACTATGCTCAAATTCTCATTAGTGCCATATTGAGATGATAGTCCACACTCTTGTATCTTTCTCCAGCTACTTTGTTCTAGATGAAAAAAACATCCTTTATTGTTAATGCCAGAAAACTCGTCGAATGATGCATTAATTGCAGCAAGTTCAAAATCTGTAAGAATAGTAGTAGGTTTTAACAAAATATTACTCTCTTCAGTGAATTTAATTAAATCTTGAAATAATGCTCTATACAATTCTTCAGATTTTTTTGTCATTAAAGCATATACTAACGGAAGAACTCGCGAGTTATCTACTATGCCAATAGAAGCATGAATTGTATATAATTGGTGAAAAATAGTCAGGACGGTCTTAAAGGTACCATCCATTATCCAGTATAATGCTCTAGATAAATGTTGTACATTGGCTTTTGTAGTAAACAAAAGAATTCTATCTTCTCCAATTATAGAATCTCTTACTAAAAAATTCTCTCTATTTAATGTCGAATTAAGTGAATTAGGTATGTTGATATCGTTAAGACTTTGGGTTGCAGTAGCATATCTGCTCTCCTAACATGTTTGATTCATATACGTAAAGTATTTTGTAATAGTATGTAGGGATAGATTTCTTCTGGAATATTAACGATAGTATTTTGAATTACTTGCACTAGTTAGTCATTTGTTTCTTTAGCTTGTTCTTTTATATGAGCAATACTTTTAGCTATTTCGTCGCTACTCGCTTGTGAAGAGTGATTATGTTCATTTTTGTTGAAATTTTTAAGGTAATGTAAATTATTTTTAAATTTTGTTATAGCTCAGTCTTTACATTCATTTGATTTTTTTTTATCACAACACCAATAATATGTATCTTTCTGATTACGTTCCTTTACAAACAAATAACTATGGATATTGAACTTATTCATTCCTTTTTGGGAAGATACAAGTTCACAAATTTCATTCATTATTTAATATTATAACTTAAAGGTCTAATCTTATCTTTTACAAAGAGGAAAAAATTAGTTCTTTTTATATTTTCAAAATATAGAAGACATAAGCGACTAGAATTAATTTCCCAATATCTTGTTATTTAATTAACAGAATCGAATGATTTTGGCATGCGTATTCAATTCGAAAATATAAAAATCAGTTGATTTTATTATATTATAATAATATATTTATTTTAATAAAGATCTAATGATCAAACCGAACGATTTTAACATCGTTCAATTTTCTCAGCGAATAGTACTCATAGTACCCATACCAAATAATAGATCACATGTAGTATTATATAATATAGTGCATTACATTATGCAATTAAATATCATACTGCTTTATTGACCATGTGATTAAATATCATACATTATTTATTTGGTGTAATTTTAGCTAATATTATACAAAAAAATGCTTATTTTATCATTAAACTAATTTTTTTTATTTATTATATTAAAGAATTTTACATAATATTACAAAATTCCTTGTCCTGTATTCTTCATAACGAACTTGACTATCATTTACAAAATAATTAGGTCTTGATGTTTTTCGTCCATTTCAGTAAAGCACAAACCTACAAAGAAAGAAAAGTTAAAGAATTGAAAATAAAACTTAGTTGAAAGAACTAAAGAAAATGAAAAAAAAAACAAGAAAAGCTACTTATTATTACAACAAAATCGAAATCCTAAACCTGGCTAAAAAAGTCCAAATCACCATTCCTGATGAAAAATAAACCTACAAAAGAAAGGAATGCTAATTGAAAGAATTGAAAATGGAAAACAAGAAACCTACTTATTACCACAGTTAAGTCCGAATCACTATTCCCAGTAAAGCACAAACACAAAAAGAAAAGAAAGTTTAAATCCTAATTCTGACAATGCACAAATGAAAGAAAGTCCAAATAACATTTTCAGCGAACAAATATAAAGAAGGAAAAAAAGTACAAATAACCATTTCTGACGAAGACTTCAAATTGCTATTCACGACAAAGAACAGGCCTACAAAAGAAAGGAATGTTAGTTGGAAGAATTGAAAATAGAAATGACAAGAAAAAAAATCTACTTATCACTACAATCAAGTCAAAATCACCATTCCCAGTGAAGCACAAATACAAAGAAAGAAAGTCCAAATCTTCAACTCAGTGAAGCACAAACACAAGACAGGAAAGAAAATCCAAATTATCAAATCCAGCGAAGAATAAATACAAGAAAGGAAAGAAAGTCCAAATCTCCAAACCTAGCGAAGAACAAGCATAAGAAAGAAAAGAAATTACAAATTACCATCCCTAGTGAAGAAGAAAGTTCAAATAACCATTCATAACAAAGAACAAACCTACAAAAGAAAGAATATTTGTTGAAAGAATTTAAAATAGAAAACAACAAGAGAAGAAAGCTACTTATTACTATCACTATTCCTGGTGAAGCACAAACACGAGGAAAGAAAGTCCAAATCTCCAAACCCAGTGAAGCACAAACACAAAAAAAGAAAGAAAGTCCAAATCTCCAAACCTGGTGAAGAACAAGCACAAGAAAGGAAAAAAAAATACAAATTACTATCCCTAGCGAATAAGAAGGTCCAAATAACCATTCACAACGAAGAACAAACCTACAAAAGAAAGGATATTTGTTAAAAGAATTTAAAATGGAAAACAAACAAGAGAAGAAAGCTACTTATTAATATCACTATTCTCAGCGAAGCACAAACACAAGGAAAGAAAGTCCAAATCTTCAAACCCAAAGAAGCACAAATACAAGAAAAGAAAGAAAGTCCAAATCTCTAAACCCAGCGAAGAACAAGCACAAGAAAGGAAAAAAAGTACAAATTATCATTCCTGGTGAAGAAAAGTCCAAATAACCATTCACGATGAACAAACCTGCAAAAGAAGGATATTTGTTGAAAGAATTTAAAATGGAAAACAACAAGAGAAGAAAGCTACTTATTACTATCACTATTCCTGACGAAGCACAAACATGAGGAAAGAAAGTCCAAATCTCCAAACCCAGCAAAGCACAAACACAAGAAAGAAAAGAAAGTCCAAATCTACAAACCCAGTGAAGAACAAGCATAAGAAAGGAAAGAAAGTACAAATTACCATTTCCAGCGAAGAAAAAGTTCAAATAACTATTCACGACGAAGAACAAACCTACAAAAGAAAGGATATTTGTTGAAAGAATTTAAAATAGAAAACAACAAGAGAAGAAGCTACTTATTACTATTACCATTCCCAGCGAAGCACAAACACGAGGAAAGAAAGTCCAAATCTCCAAACCTGGCGAAGCACAAACACAAGAAAGAAAAGAAAGTCCAAATAACTATTTCTAGCAAAGAACAAATACAAGAAAGGAAAGAAAGTCCAAATAACTATTCCCAGCGAAGAACAGATCTACAATGAAAGAAATGTTAGTTGAAAGAATTGAAAATGGAAAAAATAATATGAAAAAAAAGCTACTTATAACCATTCTCAGCGAAGCACAAACACAAAGAGAGTCCAAATCTCCAAACCTAGTGAAGAACAAACACAAGAAAGGAATGGAAGTCCAAATTACCATTACTGTTGAAGAACAAATACAAGTAAGGAAAGAAAGTATAAGTCCAAATCACCATTCACGACGAACAACTTACAAAAGAAAGGAATGTTTAGTTAAAAGAATTGAAAAACAGAAAAAAAAGAAAAGAAAGCTACTTATCACTACAACAAAGACAGCGAGAAAAGAAAGCTGCTTATCACTACAACCAAGTCCAACCCAGCAAAGCACAAACACAAGAAAGGAAAGAAAGTCCAAATCTCCAACTCAGCGAAGTACAAACACAAGAAAAGAAAGAAAGTCCAAATCACCATTCCCAGTGAGGCATAAACACAAGAAAGAAAGAAATTCCAAATTACTATTTCCAGTAAAGCACAAATGCAAGGAAAGAAAGTCCAAATCTCCAAATTCAGTGAAGAGCAAACACAAGAAAAAGAAGTCCAAATCACATTTCCTGAGAAGAACTAACATGAAAATTAAAATAAGTCAAAATCAATTTCAGCAAAGTATAAATACTAGTACTTATTATAATAGATAAAAAATCACTATACAAAAAAAAATTCCAAATTTTATTAATAAAATAAAAATTTTTAATACGTACATATAAAAGCCAGGTTGTCAGATTTGTTTTAAAATTTTATGTTAAGAAAACCAAAAAAATAATTTTGTACGTACTAGTACAAATTTTAATAAAGTTCAAAAGTACTGTTTTTTTACCATCCCTAGTAAGTACGTAAAAAAATGTCTCTAACCTTATTTATATAAAAAATTGTCAATTTACTCTCTTTTTGCGCAATATCTAAAATTTCCTATACACAGTCCCTTTTTTTATTATTTAAAGGGGATGCAGTAAATTTCATTCTCACAACATATTGCATACGGGTTTAACAATCCCTCAATTTGATTAAACTCTGAAACCTATAAACGGTAAAAAAAAAAAAAAAAAGTATTGTTTTGAAATGCTGCTACGTAAAAGATACATATGAAATTTTAAAAAATTTTTGGGTACATTTTTTTAGAGTTAGGGTTAGAATTTAGGGTCAGGGTTAGGATTTAGGGTTAAGGTTGTTGCTAAAAGAGTATAAGTGGGTTCATAGGCTTTAAAAGGAATGCAGGAAGACCCCAAATTTCTGATCTGCCACAATAAATAATACAAATAAACACACATGCTTAAATAGATTATCAATCATTGTAATTGTTGGGATTTTAACTGTCAAGATTTTTAATTGTCAGTATTTTCAATTGTCAGGATTTTTTTTGTCAGGATTATGACTTGTCAGGATTCTGCTTGTTGGGATTTTGACCCAAACTCGACAAAAGTTGCTTTGCCTCCTCTCAGCTTGGTGAACAAGTCAGACCACTGTTTGGGCTTAGAAGTATTTGCCTTCTTGTTATTATTAATCTGGCTGTTTGTTGTAGTACTAGAACTTGGAAGAGATGCGAAATCATCTTGATTTCTGGTCATGTGTTTTTTGTCTGATTTCATATGTTTGTTTTGATGATCTATGTATTGAAGATTTTTGGTTGTTGTTTTTTCTTTGTTTGCTACGATCTCTTTTGTTTGAGCAGGAGAAGAGTTTTCCTTGTTGTTTGATAACATTTCTTGTTCAACATTATCAGCCCAGCTAATATTTTCTTAGAGGTCTTTGTTTAAATTAGTCTCTGGATTTTTGCTCGATCTTGTGTTATGTTCTAGTTCTGTTTTGTTTGAAGTTTCTTCTTGGTTCAAAGAAAGGTCAAAGATTTTGTTTTTAGTATTTTGGTTAGAGAGCCTGGGTTTTTTGTTTCCAGAGCTATTCATGTTAAAAGCTAGTAGTTTTTTTTTCTTGTTTCTTGGGCTTGTTGTTTCTAAAAAGTGTGTTGTTGAAGAATTTTTTATGTAGTTATCCAATATTTTAGATTTTGCGTCCCTCAATTTCTAAGAATCTTTTGATCAATCTCACTCTAAGTTTGACCACTATAAAGTAATAGAAAACCTTCAAAAGAACTTCAATAACAGAGTAGCTCTATATTGAAGTTGCTTTATACTTAAGCAAAAAGCAAAGCTTGAATAATATGAAGAATATTGCCAAGAATATCATGAAGAATTAAATCCTAGACCTTGACTAGGACCTGAAGCAAAAACACTACTAGAAGACCCTCTCACTCAACTAAATTGCCTCTTCAACTCCAAGTTCAACCTAACCTTGACCAAAGTAAGCACATTGAATTATTACAACAACAAGTTGAACAATAGACCTAGATTATTGCTCTTCTTTAAGTATAAGTTAAAACCTTTGAATATTAGATCTAGACTCTTGAGATTTTTGAAAGATTCTACTAACAGATAAAATCTTTTTTTTTTTTTTTTTTTTTTTTATGCAGTATCTTTTTTATTAAATGAATATTATTTACATCTGTCTATATTACAGGTTAAAGAATAAGAAATCTTGTAATACTATTTTTGTCTAAACTACCTCTTTTAAGAAATAAATTCTTTTTGAGAGTTTTGAGTATTTTCCTAAATTTTAGTTTAGTAATATCAGATATAAGATTAAAAAGAATAATTTTTTCTCTCCATTTAGCAAAGCATATTTTGTATATAGTATTAATGTAGATCTATATAGCTGCTTTGTGTTTTCTTGAGTTTTTGATATTTGTTGCTAAAAAGATTTCCTCTAGTATTGAAGGTATAGGTTTGTTGTTAGGTCTCTTCAGTGTATCGTAGCTTATTTTCTAAATTGCTTTACTGATTTCACAATTAAGAGCAAAGTATTCAATAGTCTGTAAGGTATTTTGCTAGTTAGAACAGGATCCTGAGTCTTCTTGAGAGATATGTCTTAGGCAGTAGCCAAGAGGTAATATTTTGTGAGCAAGCTGCCAAAATATATTCATTTTCTGATTTAAGATAAATTTTGTTTTTATCTATAAACTGCTGTTCAGGCTAGTATTAGAGTTTACTTGAGTATGAGTATCTCTTCTTAAAGGGTAAAATGAAAGAAGTAGTTTTATAGCTTTTTTGACTATGAATTCCTCTCCTGTAAAGTTGTCAATTTCTAGGTTTTCAGGAGACTATGGCCAGTTAGTATTTGCAGTAATTTTGTCTTTAAGCCTCTTCCAAGCTACTAGGTAAGGTTTCTATCTTTCTGGCCATTCTTTTGTTTTTATTGTCACTTGAGAGAGAGCAGTGAGCACTAATATATTTCTTAGTATATGCATCTTGCTTGTTATTAGGTCTCTCTCTACTTTTATCAAGAGTAGTTGCAGGTAAGGAGTTTTATCCATACAGAAGTTAGTCTGGAGTCTGGGATATTTTTAAGGATAGGAGCTTCTAATCTTCTATGATTGCTTTCAAGCTGAAAGGTTAAGTATCAAGAAAGGAGTCTTGATTTGCTCTTAATCTAGTTTGTGACAATTTTGTCAATTTCATTGAGTTGTTTTCTGCTAAGTAGGAGCAGGTAAGCTGCATACTAGATTTTAGAGATTAGAAGAGATTTAGTGATTAAGATTTTGCTTCTTAGTGATGTTACCTTCTAATTTTTATTAATCTATATTTTCTATCTATTTTTTATTATATAAAATCGTTTTTACATATTTTATTATTATAGTTTATTTCTAAAATTAGTATATTGAAGATCTATGCACACTCTCTCCAGACTACATTAGTTTGGAAGTAGAGTAAAACTAAAAACACGATAACAATCTTTGACACTAAGACAAACAAACTCAAAAAAGGTATAGGACAAGGGCACTTGCCCTTGTTGCAAGAAAAAGATCTTTTCAAGAGTTTAACGAAACTGAAACTCTTAAAAAAA